TACGGCCGCCGACAGAACCGAGCTGCAACTTCAGAGTCAGATAGCCAGATTGCAGCGGAAGCGCCCGCAGAGGGGCAACTCAATTTCAGTATTGGTGCAGCGTGTCGTCGAGGAGTGTCGGTTAATGGCACCAGCGGGGCAGCCGTTCTCCCAGGCGGACATCCACTTCATCGTGCAATGCGTCGTGCCCGCGGAGTGGGGCAAGCACGGCCACGCCGAGAGGCAGGCTTTGCGCGAGGAAGCAAGGAGTCGCGCCGTCGAACGAGCGGCTGCCATTCAAGCCTGCGTTGCTGACCTGCAGGAACAGCTGTGCGCCCATCGGGAGGCTCGCGATGCGGACGCCGCGGTGCGCGGGGCCTTGTTCAGAAGCTCGAACTGCAGGTTGGGGCCGCGGGCGCTGGCGCTGGCCGAGCGGTTGTGGGAGGGTGTGTCCGACAGAAAGATCGGGGAGCTGCGAGCGACAGCGCTCGAGGACCCTGGGCCGGTCGACCCCCAGCTGATGGCGCGTTTGAGGGGGATGCCGCACGTCGATTATTGGGACGAGAGGCCCAGGCCCGCGTGGTTGAGATCTATTGCGCTGAACGGAGACATACTTTCGAACGCTTTGCTGGTTCTCGGCGACGGGTGCGACTCCATGGCGTACGCTTTTCTTTATGCCAAAAAAGACACGTACGAAGCAACGTTCCTGAAGGCCCGTAAAGTTGACGGTGCCCTAGAGTTCGGCGCCGACGCCTCGGCCCGACAAGGCCGCCACATGCAGCACCATTTCTGCGTCCCCTGCCCCCCGGAGTACGCCGCCGAGCGCGACGTCCCTGTTTCGGAGGACATGCGCGTGGCCTTGCACGCTTGTTTCCTCAGTGCAGGGAGCGTCGGCACCACGGTGCGCTTATTGAGCTGGGAAGCCGTCGAGAGCTCCCTGCCGCCAGCACCAGAGCGGAAGGGGCGGCAGCGGCGGATCGGCGCAGCGGCGAAGAGGAATTTATTATTGGAGCACCCTTGGTTGGAAGGTCATTTGCCCACCTTCGACTTCGCTGGCCGCCGCCCTGCGGCCGATCTCCCGCGGGGCGAGGCGCGCGGCGCCGCGGGCCCGCCGCCGCCGCTTCCCGAGCCGAGGGTTCTCTTGGACGGGGAGGGGCTGGAGGACCTCGCCGCCCGCCTGGAGCTCCGCAGGCGGGCTCTGGCGGAGGAGACTGGGGGCGCGGCCGAGGATTTCAAAGTTGCTCTCAGGGGCGGCAAATTTACCAGGGAGCACTACGGGGTCGACGCCGACGACGTGCGCGCTACATTTGCGAACCAGGAAGCTGAGCGCTTTGTTGTCAACTACCGGTTTCCAACGAAGAGCATGGATTTCCACATCGGGAACCTCACGGAGGCTAGGGCCCAGACGATGGCGGCTGAGTGGTGCAGGCGGATGCAATATTTCAAAGACCTCCAGGCAGGGGACGATGCGTTTCGCTTCACCCCCGACCACATAGCGGGCTACGTCGAGACAGACGCGTTCACGAACGAGATCTCCACTTGGCCGGCCGACGACAGACACGTCGTTCTGCAGTTGCGGAAGGTCCGGGCCGTAGCGCCCAGGAGGCTCGCATAGTGCGTCGGCCGTGTGTCCCCCTCAGCTTCGGCGGCGTTGCCCGCCGTCCGTGCCCGCCCGCCAGCGCGGCGCCCTTCCCGCAGACCAGGGTCCGCGGCCCAGGCGCCCAGAAAAAAAATGCCTGCCTTTGGCTTTTCCGCCGTTGCGCCGCGGGCCAGCTGGCCTCGGGGGGCGGGGGTGGTCGAGGCGCCCAAAGCTCTCGAGAGGGGGGGCCGGCGTGCGCGGGTGGGCGCACGTAGACAGAGGGGCCTTTCAGAGGATTACAGGAACCCAACCAGACAGCTCACAGGCATACAACACGCCACTGCTGCGCAGGCGCGGCTTCGCGGATAGCATTGCTTGCCGAGGGCTACGGCGGGGGCCCACACGTCCGCGAATTAGGCCGCGCGGCCGCGCGCTGGGCCACCCTTCTGAAGCAAGGCCCCAAGAGGGCCTTGCTTCTTGCGACCCCAACTTTGCATTGGGCCTCCCAATTTGCTTGCGTACCTCCTCTGCCCTCCCACTACTAGCAAATTTGACCCACATAGTGGGGGTGGCCCGGCGACGGGAGGGGACCCTCGCAATTTTCTATGCGTTTCAGAGCTTGGAAAGCAGCCACAAAATATGCCAGACAAATCTTGGGGCTTCCAGAGGGCCCCAAGAGGGCCCCAAGGGGGCCCCAACGGGGCCCCAGAGGTTCCAAAAAGTGTCCGTTAGGGCTCCCAGAGGCCCCGTCCAGCTGTCAAGACGGCCGCCTTCGTCCTTGACAGCGGCCAGGTCCCTTGTAGGGCCCTGTTGGGGCTTGGACGGGGCTCCCAGACGGAAACCAAAAAAGGCCCCCAGACGGTGTCCAAAGGGCCCCAAGACGGCTCCAAGAGGCCACTGAGAGGGCCCCAGCGGGGCCCTCTGGAGCTCCACACGCGGGGGCTGGTTGTCTGGAAGTCTCACAGGGCCTTCGGAGGGGCCCAAGAGGGCCCCCAGTGCGCTCCAAGAAAACCCCGACGCGGCTCCAGGCAAGATTTCGTGCCACGGATCCATTTTACCACAACGCACCGCTGCGTGGCAAGCGTACCTCTGGCGTCGCCTAGGGTGGAATGCCCTTGTGCCCCCCCCCAGTAGGCCCCAGGACGGCTGCAATCGCTGTGGGGCTTCTCGGAGTGAGGGGCCGAACGGTCTTACAGTGTTCCTGGGTGCGTGGCTGCAGTGGGGATCCGCGGTGAGGGTGATGTTTGTTGTTGTTGTTGTTGTTGTTGTTGTATTGGTTCTTGTCGTCGTCCCGGCATGTGGTTCGCGGCGCGGGTGGGTCGCGGCGCTGGCGGGTCGCGGCGCGGGTGGGTCGCGGGTGGTTTGTGGGGCCGATGGGTCGCGGGTGGGTCGCGGGTGGGTTGCGGGTGGGTCGCGGCGCGGAAGAGTCGTTCGGGCCCCGCCGGACCGTTCGTGGGGCCCTCTTGGAAACATTTTGGGGCCTCCTCGGGGCCCTCTGCGGCCTTGGGATGAGCCCGAGACGGCCCCAGGACGGCGCCAAGGAAGCCCCAAGAGTGCTCCAGCTACGTTGAGGATGTGGTTTCGCACGCTTCCCAGGCACTACAGCTTTGCATGTTCGATGTCGTGTATTTGGTGCCACCTCCGACGGGGAGCGATGGGCGTTTCGATGGACCATCTCCGAGCCAGGCACGTAGGAGTGAGACAAATCAACAGTACGAGGCGCGGTGCAGAGGTCAATGCATTCAGGGAGGGTACGGTTCACGCTGTGAGCAGCACACCAAGCTGACACGCGACTCGGCACGGTCGAAATTACTATATGTTGTGTCTTGCCCTTTGCCACGTGTGTGTCTGGGCGGCAGAGCGGGCGCAGAGACGTCGCTTGCCCTTTGCCGGGGAAGTGTCCGCGCTTCTTCCTGCACGAGCCCCCCCGGCAAAGCAGGAGCAGCACATGTCAGGCTGAGAGGGTTATCTTCGATTCGACCCGAGCATGTCGCCAGCCCCCTTCAGAACATAGCCTGGCGCTAGCAGTTGCGGGCCACGCTGTCAGTTCAGTCGCGTCGGCTTGCACCGTCATATCCAAGCGAACATGTGCAGCTGAAGCCTGAAGTAAGATACGCACTGCAATGGTCTCGCCAGGAGGAGGCCGGAGGAGGAGGAGGACGTGGAGGAGGCAGGAGGAAGCAGGAGGAGGCAGGAGCATGAGCATTAGCGGGATTAGCCTGGCACTACCATTGCAGCCATTGTGTGCTTCGCCTGAGAAATCGTCAGACATTGTGGGATCGAAAGGGGTACTTCATGGGCGATCTGCTTGTGATTTCCGACTCACTTGTACAGCACCTGGAAACGTATATAGCGAAATTGCGTCTGTTGGAATTGCGTCTGTTAGGAACAACTTTTGAACAGGTGTTGATGCTTCATTGTGAACATGAGTTCGATACGCACTTCAGTTGCACCCACACCGGTGCGAGGCACGATCAACCATACCCCTCCCCCAATGCGTCCTTACACTGAAACGCAACTCCTCCTGGCTCCCTGCAAACCCCTAACTACGGAAAGCAACGACTATCCCTAACCCGTTTCCGCACTCAGAACGGAGCGGGCATGCCCTGCTGGCCATGGCCATCCCTTGGGTCCCCCCCCCAGCCTCCCACAGTTCCAGAAACTGCCACATTCTGAGTGCAGATCCTGGGGCCTCCGCATTCGCCCCCTGCTCTCCGCGGACCTCCTGGCTCCTCCTGCCTCCTCCTGCTCCCCTGGCCCCTCAGGCCAACAGGGGCCCCAGAGCATTCAGAGGGCTGGTGAGGCCCCCACTGCACTCCCCACTGCACTCCCCACTGCACTCCCCACTAGCGCCCCACTAGCGGCCCACTAACGACTGTCACAGGGTTTGTGGCCATCCCGAGTTGGCTTAAAGTTGAGTGCTCTGGTCGAGTGCGAAGTCCCGCTTAAGATGTCACCAGGAATCGTTCGTGGGCTCGTTAGTGGGTCCCTTAGTGGGCGCCTTAGTGGGGCCTTAGTGGGCCCGTTAGTGGGGCCCTCTGTGGGGCTTTAGTGGGGCCGTTAGTGGGCCCGTTAGTGGGGCCTTAGTGGGCCCGTTAGTGGGGTCTTAGTGGGGCCTTAGTGGGCCCTTAGCGGGGTCCCTTAGTGGGCGCCTTAGTGGGCCCGCTACTGGAGGAGATTCGTTGTTCCTTGGTGAGCTACAGCACGCGAGCTCACAGTGGCCTCCAAGAGAGTTTCCAGGGTTCAGGGAACCGGAGCTCTCGAATGAATCCTCTGATAAGGATTCTCGTTTTGGATCGATCCGCGAGGGGCTCCAACCCGGAAGCGCGGTAGCAGCAGTCCCGGTCCGTAATCATTTGGGCTCGAATTGTGCAAGCCTCAGGTATCCAGCAGCGTCTCGATTCCTTGTCCGGCCCGTGCTTCACAGCCGCCCCAGGGCGCCATGGCGTCAGTGGCGCGCTCGGTGGCCGCGAAGAAGGCGGCGGAGACGAGGAAGCAGAACAGGCTGATCAAGGAGGCGGCCGCCGCAGGGCAGAAGCAGGGGGCCCTTCGCACCCTCTTGTCGGCGGGCGCCCCGCCGGCGCCGAGCGCGGCCGCGGGCTCCGCAGAGCGCCCCGAGGCATTCCCTCCGGCGCCGCAGGATGCCCAGTCGCCGGCGACCCGCGCAGCTGGCGGCTCCGCAGCGCTGCCCCAGGGCCGCGGTGACGTGCCTGTGGCGGCGGCGCCACGGGCTCCCCAGCGGGCCGCCGTGAAGCCTGGCGCTGTGGTGGTCGCTTCGCGTGGTGGACCGAGGTTCGCATTCGATGATTCCGGAGCCGCCCGCTCTATGGGCGACCGCCTGGGCCGCTGTGGTCTGTTCGTGGTCCCTGAGGAGGCGGGCGATTCGGGCAACGACGACGTTTTGTTTGGAGCCGGCCAGTGCAGCACGCCTGGCAAGCGTGCGCCCGAAGACGAGGAGTTGCTCGACGAGGGTTCTGGGGGTGGGACGGCGGCCCTGGGCGAGCAAACGCCCGCGGCGAAGCGCTCCCAGCCGAAGGGCACCGGCGTCGACGACATCGCGCGCTGGTCGGCCCAGAAGACGCCTTGCCGAAATACCGGAGTGAAGAGTCAGAAGGCGGAGGAGAAGGCCGCAGACGGAGAAGCCACGCTGGACAGGCGCGCCGTCAAGCTGCTGGAGGAGCGCTTCAGGGATTTCGGCAAGGTGGACGAGATCAAGACCCTCAGCGACGTGGACGGGGTTCTCTTGTGGGATGCCTTGAGGTCCGTCCGGGGCGCCGCGGCGCGCGTGCACGACCACCAGGTGCGTGACTTGAGGAAGCGTTTTGCGCCGCCGGGTACTGCGGAGCACGACCTTCGCATCCGCTTTCCCGAGGATGCCTGGGGCCGGGGGCCGGGGGCACTTGGGCCTTCCAGGGCTTCCGTCGGGAGTGGGGCCCCTCTGCTCCTAGATGTGGTTACAGGGGTGTTCTCCCGTTGTCCTGCTCGGGGCCGTTCCAGGGTGGGGCCTCGCTTTGAGGGTGTCTCCGCCCGTGCTCGGGAGCGTTGCCCGGCGGCTAGGACGAGGTGTCCCCGGATCTGCTCGCCGCCATCCGCCTGTCGAAGGACCCGTCCATGGACAAACGCAGCAACGGGGATTTCGTGGCGTACATGTCCGAGTGCGAGGGCCTGAACCAGAAGGAGCTGGTGGTGTGCCTCCGCGACGTCGCCGGCAACAACGCGCTCGTGCAGCCAGCGCGGCAAGAGTACATCTCCGCCCTCATGGAGTGCATCGTCCGGTGCGACCTCGACAAGCGGTTCCCCCAGGAGGTCCAGTTGCTTCAGACTGTATGGGACGATTGCCTGCAGGTGATCTTCAGCTCCTTCGGCAAGAGATCGAATCCGTTCGCTGACTTCTGGGCGATCTACGCGCCCCACTGCAGGCTGGCGATGGACGAGGCAGACGCCTTGACGGCGGCGGGTTGCGAGGAGCAGTCCCCGGAGAAGGTTTTGCCTGCGTGCGTGCGCCTCCTGAACAGTTCCCACCTCGGGCGCTCGCTGTTCCACGACGTGGCCCGGAAGGGCGCGGAGGGGTGGCTGAAGCAATTGATGACCGCCGTCCTGGACGGCATCAAGCCGCCCATCACGCAGAGGAAGATGAACGCTGCCGACCAGAGAGTGAAGGCGGAGATGGACCGCCTCCAGGTCCACGTCTTGCTACGCGGGAAGAGGCCGGTGCTTGTCGCGTACCGCCGCGTGCCCGTGAAGTGCATGGTGGCATCTGCGCAGGAGGAAACGTCGCTGCCGACAAACCCAACATGACAGGTTCCGTGCCCGGAGCCGCTCGGCATCGTTGTCGTCTTCGTCGTCGTTTTCCTGCCTCTCACGGACCCCTCCGATTGCCCCGGCCCCCCCTGGCCTCATTCAGGAAAGGCGGAATTTCCACATGCGCGCCCTGCGTCGCGGGCGGGCGCCCCTCGAGCGGGCTCGCGCGGGCCCGCGCGGGCCCAGAGGCCGCGCATGAGGAGATTTCGCTTGTCCTGAGCGGGTGTCGGGGGGTCCGGGGGTAGTCGGAGCGGCCCGCGCGGGCCCCCAGGCAGTGTGATGGGATACTTTCATGTTGGGTTCCTCCGAGCTTCGTTTCTCGCAGGAGTGGACCTTCGTGCGTGCTGGTTGGCTGAAGGACAGGGGTCTGGAGTGCGGGGCGCTGCAGGCGACTTCCTTGGAAGAGGCGCCCACGCGTCGAGCAACGCTTGCGCATCCAATTCCTGCCCCGCCCCCTCGCGGCGGCCGCTCTGCCGCTCGCCGTCGCCCCACTCTCGCCATATCCTCCTGCCTCCCCGCGTGGGTCCTCCCCTTCCGGCTCCCCCTTGCTCGCCCTTCATCCTCTCGTCCTCTCCATAGCCCCCCCCCCCGTCTCTGGATGCCCCGTCGCGGAGGCTCTGGAGCCGGTGCCGGAGCCACAGGATGAGCACCCGGAAAAGAGCATGGAGCCTGGGTTGGTCAATAGTTTCCAGTTGGCGAACTCGCACGTGGACGCGTCCTTGGAGAAGAGCAAGAAGAAGGACGCAGAGTCGCTCCTGAAGGTGATCGAGAACCAGACGCCGAAGTGGAGGGTGCACGATCGGACATTCGTGCTCCAGTTAGGATGGCTGCAGTCCCAGCAGGGCGGCAAGGCCCGCGACACTTTTGAGCACTCCGTCCTCTTCGCGCTCTCTCCGGTGAACGTTCAGAAGGGCTACAAGCACGTTCTCGCCCACCTGGCCGAGTTCAAAGACGACGGGGTGACGTTGTTCTGCGGCAGTATTGCCGAGGAGGACCTGCGGAAGATCACGGCGCTGGTGGACGCGCTGTACCACGGGAAGGAAGTGACCGACGTGTCCCCGTTCCAGAAGACGCCCTTCCGTCGCAAGGCGCTGGGGGCCATCGAGCAGTTCTGCGTCTGCAGGGAGCGCGATGAGAACGGAGAGGAGGTGTCCAAGCTGACGGGCCGGGCTGCCATGAAGGCTCTGTATGCCGAGTTCGAGCGCGCGCTCCAGGCGGGGCAGCTTCTCGCCGGCGCGCTGAAGCCATTCCATACGTTCAAGTGGATGCTGTCGGGGGAGCAGCAGGACGCCGTGCGCGAGGCTCGCAACAACTGCATCCGGGAGTCCCTCCAGGCCAGTGGCGCTCTCGTGAGCGCGGACGCGGAGGTGCCAGACGCCGTGGCTGCGGACGCGGGCCCGAGACCGAAGAAGGCCAAGAAGTCGGCGGCGGCCTCAGCCGTGGACTCCGAGATGGACAGCTTGTTGGCCTGAGTCGCTTCTGTGCGCAGAGGTCCCAGCCGGAGTCCGCGGCAGTAGCTGCGGCCAGCGTGCGTGGGCGGGGGCGGGGACCTGAAGACCGAGGCGCCGGACCCCCGGGGGGAGTGCGGGGTCGAGCTCCAGTGAACATCGAAGTAAGCATTTGTTGAGGCAGGGGGCCCTGCCAGGGGTCCGCATCGGCTGTGTCGGAACAGACGGTGGGTTGTTTTGGGGCCATCTTGGGCCGTTGGTGGCCGTGTTCGCGCTCTCTGGGGCGAACCCGAGTCGTTGCTTGATTCCCTGACGCTTCGCGTGCCCCCGCCGCCCCATCCTTGGCCCCTCGATGGGCCCCTCCAGGGCCCCCCAGAGGCTTTCGACGCCGTGGGCCGCGGGGCGGCCCCAGGCGGGTCGTGGGCATGGGCCAATCTGACCATGGTCCTTTTGGGGGGCCACCCCAGGACTTAAAATGAGTTCGATTTGTTGTTCAGATGGGCTCTTGGGTTCCCTTCCCTGGGGGTTCCACGAAGCCCTTGGCAGGCCCCCGAGCCACGTGAAGTCCCCGGGCTGGTCGTGGGCCTCGCGCGGTCTTCCTGTGGGCCCCGAGGTGGTCACTTGAGAACGATAATGTGGCCAAATGTGTTGCTCGGGTGGCGATTGGATTCCGCGCCCGCGCTGGGGGAAATTCCGCGATGGCACTCGTCCGCACGGAGTCAATTACAAGAGACACGAGCTCCCACTGTGTCGTGGGAGCTCGCGTTCGACCACTCGGGGTCTTGTTGGAGCCTTCTCGGGGCCTTCTCAGGTCATTCCAGGACCCCCGCGGCAACAAACAAAGAACACAAGTCACATGCACAATCTGTTGAGCCAGACGCGCCCGGGCCCTCCTGGGGCGCTCTGGGGCCCTTCTTGGAGCCTTTTTCGGTTTCTCTTGGGGCCCTCGTGGGCCCTGCGCTGAGCCCTCATGAGGGCCCCCTCGCAGTTCTTGGATAACCCCAAGTGAGCGGCCGAGAACAACGAATTCCTACGACGATCTACGCCCCTAGGGCTAGTGGGATATTAGGGTCATTGCAGGGTGTTGCAATGTAGTTTAGTAGGCATTGCTGGATGTTTAAGGGTCGTTCCCAAGGGATTGCAGGGTCTTTGCAGGGGCCTTGGCAAGGTGTCGCAATTATTTTGGGAGGGTCGTTGCAGGAACATTTGCAGTGTATTGCAGGGGTCTTGGCGGGGTCTTCGCACGAAAGGCTTTGCAGGGTATTGAGGGGGTCTGAGGGGGAGGGAAGGAAGGGGGTTTATGATAATATAAAAAGGGTGTTTTCTGTGTTACCTCACGCGGTGAAAAGGCGGGCACAGTTTGCCCAGCGCGGCAGGATCAGCCGGGAGGGCATGCGCTGCCTTCCACGTCGCATTCCTGCCGCAAGTGTCACGGGGGGTACAGTGCTGGGGGCAATTCGGCGTGCAGGAGTAGTCTTGCTCGCGACTTGGACCGACACCCCTCTAAGGATAATTATTGTCGTTTCCTGTATCCACGCCAGCCCACCCAGAGAAGATGCCCGTGCGAGTTGCCTCGATCAGGGAAGTGGAGCAGCACGCAGTGCAACAGAAAGGAGGTCAACCGTTACCTTTCGAACATAGGAGGAAGAAGGAGGGGGGAAGGGAAAGAAAAACGCGAGCCATTTTTTCGCCAGAAGTTTCAAGAGGGCCCCAGCAGGCCCGAAAGGGGGACTGAATGCAGACCCGCGTGGCTCCAAGAGGGGCCCGAGGCCGCCCCCAAAGGGCCCCGAGTGAGGCCACCGAAGAAAATCTGGTACGCTGCTCGCCCTCCGCCTCTTGGGGTTTTATTGGGGCCCTCGTGGGCCCTCTTGTGGCCATCGTGGGCCCCCCTTGGAGCCATCTTGGGGTCCTTCTTTGGAGCTCTGAAAGACGCCCGAAAGGCTTGCGTATAACAAAGAACACCATGCGTATAATGCGTGGTGCTCCAGCTTCGAAAACTGGAATCTTATACGCCCACGCTGAGACATTATACGCGCCCGCTTGGGGCCCTATCGGAACTTGCAGAAACGCCCGAAAAGTCTGGCGTATAACAAACAGCCCCCTGCGTATAATGCGTTGTGCTCCAGCCTCACAAGCAGGAGCATTATGCGCGTCACGCTGGGCCGTTTTACGCAGTCTCTTCGACCCTTTTTGGAGCTCCGCTGGGACTCTTTCAAAGCCTTCGGAGGTCCCCAAAACGGCTTCCAGGGAACAGCGAATTCCTTAAACAAGATACGCCCAGAGAACAGGTGGGAATGCAGGGTCGTTGCAGGCAGGGCATTGGAGGGTCGTTTGCAGGGGATTGCAAAGCCTTTTGCACGGTCAGAGTGAGGGGGCCAGGCGGTCTTACAGTGTCCCTCGTGGCGTGGCGGCAGTGAGGATCTGCGGTGAGGTTATACTTGTTGTTGTTGGTGTGGTTGTTGTTGTCGTCCCGGCGGGTGGGTCGCGGCGCGGGTGGGTCGCGGAAAGGGCGGGTCGCGGCGCGGGCGGGTCGCGGGTGGTCTGCGGCGCCGATGGGTCGCGGGTGGGTCGCGGGTGGGTTGCGGGTGGGTCGCGGCGCGGGTGAGCCGGTGGGTCCCCTCAGTGACCGCTCTCAGGGCCCTGTTGGAGTTGGAGCCTTCTTGGAGGCATCTGCGACCCTAAGAGGGGCCCGAGATGGCCCCAAGACGGTGCCAAGAAAACTCCAAAAGTGCTCCAAGAGGGCCCCAAGATTGCCCCAAAATGGGCCCAACACAATTATATTATTGACCGCCCTTTTGTATACCTGTTTAGGGGGCTCTCCAAGGGCCCTGGGAAGGTTCCCCCGAACAAACCCAGGCGGGCTCCAAGAAGCTCGAAGAGAGCCCCAAGAGGCTCCCAAGAGGGCCCCGAGATCGGTCACGCGAGCGAGGCTTCGCGTGACCGCTCTTGGGGGCATCTTGGGGCAGTCTTGGGGCCCTCTTAGGCCCTTCCGAGTGCCCTGGGAAGGGTCCAAAAGGACCCTGAGCGGCCCAAGACGGCCTCCTTAGATGACTCACTTGGTCTCTGGTCAACGACCGCTTTGACTAGAGACCCACAGCATTCGTCTTGGGATCGTCTTGGGGGCCTCTTGGGGCAGTTTTTGGCCCTTCTTGGGCCCTTCCGAGGACCCTGGGAAGAGCCTGAGAGGGCCCCGAGAGCATTCCAAGAGGCCCCAAAAGGGCCCCAAGAGGGCCCCAAGATGGCCCCAAGATCGGTCACGCGAGAGAAGCTTCGCGTGACCGCTCTTGGGCGCATCTTGGGGCCGTCTTGGGGCTCTCTTGGGCCCTTCTGAGGGCCCATGGAAGGGTCCAAAAGGGCCCCGAGAGGGCTCCCAGAGGCTCCAAGAGGGCCCCGAGAGCTCTCCAAGAGGGCCCCGAGATCGGTCACGCGAGAGAGGCTTCGCGTGACCGCTCTTGGGAGCCTCTTGGAGCCTTCATGAGGCTCTCTTGAGCCCCTCCGAGGGCCTTGGGGAAGGTCCAAGAGGGTCGATGGGGCCTGGGAGGGGCCTTTTCTTTTATGTCATAAGGGGCCGATGGGTCGCGGGCGGGTCGCGAGGCGGGTGGGTCGTTGGTGGGTCGCTGGCGCTGTGCCCGCCCGCCCGCGCCCTCAATATTATCCGCAATTGCGAGGTGCTGCGTATTGCAGGTCTTTTTGTTTGCATTTTTTCGCAAGGTATTGCAGGGTTCTTTGCAGGGGTCTTTGCAGGGTGTTCCAGATCTTTGCAGGGCGTCGTTGCAGGGGGCTTTGCAGTGTCTCGCAGGGGGTCCAGGGAAGAGAGTAGGGAGGGAGGTTCATGAGAAGTTGGAAGAGGGAGCTCCCTAAACCACCTCACGCCCTGAAGGGTTGGTGAGGTTTCTGTCTGGGTTCGCATCGCATCCCCCTGGGGAGCGTGATCAGTGCTGCACTACACCCGTGCTGCCCATTAGATGTCACGCTCTGCTCGTGTGATACGCAACGTTTTGGAAGCTCGTATCCAAGAGTGCAAAGTATGAAACATGGAGTGCGCGAGTCACAGTGTAAGGGCGGCTGGGGGGTACTTCCCGCCAGGAAGGACCGCACCCCTTGTATCCTTCCCTGCCAACCCCTCCCTTCCTCGTTTTTCGTTGCCTCTCCCTCGTCACATTCCTCTCCCCCTCTTCCCTCTAATTACTTGTTCCTCGCGCTCCCGTCGCTCAACTTTTCCATTCCCCGTCCTCCCCTCAGCTGTTGTCTTCCCTTCGTTTGATGTGCTGTCCCGATTTCCTTGATAATGCTTGCCTCCCCCATGGACTCCCGCCGTCCTGTCCTCGCCACCCTCGGCTGGTCCCCATCTCCGCCCGCCCTCCCCCGCCAACCATCCCTTCGCGTTTCTGTCCCCGCCCGCGTGGGCAAACGGGCGCCAAAAAACGCTTAATAAAGAGCAACATGTGCAAGTGCGCGGCGTGGCCTAGTAGGGCCTGGGGAACGCCGCCCATTAACATATACCGGTGGTCTTTGGATTCCCGCCCCCCGAGTGCACGTATATGGGTTTTGATTGCGCGCGGGTGTCGCGGCGCGAGCAGTGGGCGACGGGGAAGTGGCGGCCTGCCACAGCGTAGTGGAGAAGGCGCCGCAGCGCAGTGGGGTCAGTTGAACAACTCGCCATGCCGTGGGGCGGCGCGGCGCGCAGAGAAACTGCCCTCCCTTTTGTGCCATCGGTGTCGTTGGCTCTCGTTTGTGGTCTTTGCCACCGGAGGGTCGCGGAGAACAGAGAGGGGGTAGAGAAAGGGAGATAGACGGGGAGGGGGGAGGGCGGGGTGGGGAGGAGGAAACGAAGCAGGACAGGGAGAGGGAGGGGAAGGGGAGGGAAAGGGGAGGGGGGAGAGGGAAGGGGGGACAGAGGGTAGAGAAAAAGGAGGACGAGAGGCAGCGGGAGGCTGGGGGGCAGAGGGAAACGGAGGGGAGGGGCAGGGGGCAGAAGGGAGAGGCAGGAGAAAATGGATGGGGGTCCTGAAACATATGATAACGGACTGGAGGGGCGAGACGTGGAGGATTTTCTGTTGCGCAAGCCCCTGTCGCCTGTGAGCGCATAGGTGCGCGGATTCGCGCGGGGCTGACGGGATTCCGGGGGAGGGCTTCCAAGCGCCCGAAGGGCGGGAAATGGCCGCGCGCAATCGCGTGGCAGAGGCGGGGGGGAGCTCAGCGATCGCTTTTGCGTTTGCGTAGTTGCCCGTGGTCGCGCGCCCGTAGGCGCGACGCCCGCGGGCGCCTCCCGATCAGCTGCGGGCGCGCGCGGGCGCTCGTGAAGCTTTCGCCGCCGCCTCGGAACAGTGATCGCGTTGGACTGCCTGCCAGTGCTTCCGCGCGCTTGCCGGTGCCCGTGATCCAGCATGGCCGCCTGCGGGCGTCGCTCCCAGTAGCGGCTTGCCTCTGAGTGCCCGCGCGCACTTCCGCGTGCGCCGAAAAACGATGCTACGCTGCGAGCCGCGCAAACGGCCGCTGGCGCCGACGGCAACCGCGACCCCAGTGAAAAAAACATGTGGGAAAAAACGTTCCTGCGACGATCCTAGACGCTGGGAGAGGTGACCCGACCCCCCGTGGGGCGGACACACCGTGCCCCCTGGGAACGCACACTGGTGCTTGAATTCGGCTTGGTGCCTTCCGTCCGCGCCAGTGTTGCCACTACCATGGGGCTCACGTTTGCACACACACTGCTGACTCACATCATGCTTGGGGGTCCATCATTCGTCTTCCCCTCGTGCCGGGACGTCTGCCCCACATGCGTTGACCCCACGGTCACGGTGCTGCGAGGCAGAGGTGGCTGTCACAGGATGTGCGCTACACGCGAATTGCCCACCAGTACCGGGTGCGAACATTGGTCGTTGCCCCAAGCTGTGGCACCAGAAGGTACGCAACCCCAACCTTCACATTGCACCTGCATCAAGGGTGCAAGAGTCCAAGCGCCCCATCCGATTCAAAGGGTTATACCCACGCTGACGGGCATCAGCACTTCACTGCTATCCTCCTCCTTCTCCTCCATGCTGATGGGATAGGCGGCGAGCGGGGGGGGTGAAGTGAGAAGGTGAAGGTCCATGAACATAAATTTGTGGCGCTCCGCGCGGGTTTCTTGGATCGGCGCCTGGGGCCCCCTGGCAGCGCCTCCGACGCCGCCCCTGGCGCGCTCCGCGCGCCAGAGAGGGGGGCCCAGCGTGGATCCAAGAAATCCGCGCGGAGCGCGAAACGTTTATGTATATGGTTTTCTTTTTTTTTTTTTTTCTAGAAGGCCTTCGCAGAAGGCGGCGGACTTCTCAGAAGGCCTCGAAGTTGCTGCGCCTTCGGGAAAGGCTTGGAAAACGTTTCAGAAGGCCGGGCGACTTCCGAGCCTTATGAGACGGCCCGCACCTTCCCATTTCCCCCCGGACTGGCCGTCGAACACTGGGATGACCGCGGGGGGTGCTGATGGGATGCGAATGTTGGTTGTAGTTGGCGGCGTGGGAATCATGTATGGGTTGGTTACAAGTGCCCTGAGCGGCATGGGTGGGTTCGATAGCTCTGCTACGCGGGCGCAGCCCACTTAGTCCAGATCTCAGGTCACGACACTTCGAACCTACTTATACGCCGTGTTAGCCCGTACGCAAGCCACCTTCGCATCCACGTAAAACCTTTCTATCATTTTAGACCCCACGCGCGGTCATCCAAGTAGGCATACGCGCTCGAAAGTCTCAGAGAAGGAAATGCTACCGGTACCCGATAGGTCGCTACCCTGCCGTCGTCCTCACGTCCAGATTGCTATCGAGATCTAGGTCAGAACGCTCCCTAGGAGAGGTCCGGGGAGTAGCGGTATCGGCATCTGTTTGTCCCCCCGAGGTCCGCGAGGGTTTCTTGGATCAGCGCTGGGCGCCCTATCGCGGCGCCTCCGGCGCCGGCCCTGGTGCGCTCCGCGCGCCAGGGGTGCGGGCTCCAGCGCCGATCCAAGAAGTCGCGCGGAATTTCAAAGTTTAAGTAGGTGCACCAGATGAAAAACCAGCCTGCGAGCAGGCGCCCCACAGAGATTGCTTCTCCCACGATGGCCCTGGGGGCCCAGAGAAGCTTGAGGACACCTTCGGAAGTCCAGGGATCAACGAAGAACGCGCCCCCAGGTTTCTCATGACCAGACTTCTTTCCGTGCCTTACCTGCTGTATGTTTAAGCACATCGTTCTCATTCCACAGGGAGTGGCGTGATGTCGGGCGAGACCCAGTTCCACTGGGCAACCGCGAAGCCGAAGAAGGCGTGCCAGGGCCACAACGCGCTCTCGAAGGCGTCGCTGTGGCTGGAGGCCGACCGCGGCGAGAGGAAGCCGGCGGCCCCGCCGGTGGCGCCGGTACCCGTGCGGTCCCGCGAGCCCAGCAAGAGCACGACGATCGCGGAGATCGGAGAAGAAGCAAGGGCACATGCAGTCAACGTTGGCCGGTTTGGACCTCAAGCAGTAGGTTATTGCAGTCTGCGCGGTGCAATATGTGTGGTGCAGTGTATGCGATGCAGCCCATGTAATGCAATCTATGCGGTGCAAGATTTTGTGGTGCAATCTACGCGGTGCAACCCATGTAATGCAATCTACACGGTGCAATCTATGTGTTGCAATCTACGCGGTGCAACCTACGCAATCCAGTCTACGCGGTGCAACCTACGTGGTGCAATTTATGCGATGCAACCTATAGTATGCAATCTATGCGGTGCAATCTATGCGGTGCAATCCACTCTGCTGAACTTGAAGTCGTCATCTTCACTGCTCGCGCAAACATCCCACCCACCCACCCGCAACTTGGTTTGCAAAACCTGTTAAGACCTACCACGACGACACCGACGACAACGACTAGGACGACACCGACGACGTCTCCGACGACTTCGACGACGACAACGACACCGACGCCGACGACGACGAAGACGACGTTGACGCCAACGAAGGCTACGACGCGGGAGGAGGAAGGACGACGACGGCGACAACGACGACAACGACGACAACGACGAGGGAGGAGGGAGGACGGCGACGACGCGAACGACGACGAAGGAGGAAGGACGGCGACGCCGACGACGACAACGACGAGGGAGGAGGGAATACGACGACGACAACGACGACGACGACGGCGACGAAATAGGAGCGAGTAGACGAGACGCCGACGACGGACGACGACGACGACGTGGGAGGAGGAGGAAGGACGACCACGGCGACAACGACGACGGAAACGACCACGACGCCAAAGAGGACGACGACGACGAACATGGGAAAAGACAGAGGACGACGTAGGCGACGACGACGACGACGACGACGACGACGCGGGAGGAGGGAGGACGGCGACGACGACGACGACGCAAGAGCGCGCGCGCAAGCTTTTGTTGAAAATCCGTGTTGCGAAGCCTCGGGTTTTTGTATGTTTTTGGACGCACGATGTTGAAATCCTTCCGAAACCGATTGGTTTTGAAGCTTTTCGGCATACGCCCGCGACAACGCGCGCGTTTGCACTTCGTCCCGTTTTTTGCAGAGGATTCTCGCGACGGCACACGCGCAAAGGCGTTTGACAGATTTCGACATGCGCGCACGCGAAGCCCGTTTGGTAGCATTTTGTGAAAATCTTGAAAAACCTATGGCTTCCTTAAGATTTCGCAAGAGCTCGCGCGGAAGCTTTTTTAGCAAATCAGTGTTGCGGAACTATGTTTGTTGTATGTTTTTTTGGGGAACTCGATTGCGAAATCCTTCTGGCACCGAAGGTTTTGAAGGATTTCGGCATGCGGTTCGTCCCATTTTTTGCAAGGTTTTTTGTGAACAGGTGCTATGTTAGAGCAATTAATGTCACCGCATAGTTTTTTACAAGGGAACCTCAGGGGATGGGGAACCTGGCCTGGATGGGATGGTATGATTTCATATTTAGGATGGACGAGTGTGCAGAATTTATTTATATTTATATATATATATATGAAATTATACAATCCCAGGGGGAAGCGATAAGTCCGGGGGGGTAGAGTCTATTGAGTCTATTGTCTTTTTAGAAAGGAGGGTCTACATGGTGCAATTAATTTCTGTTCGCAGTGGGTTGTCCACTCCACTGCTCGCGCGAACATCCCACCCACCCACCCGCAACTTGGTTTGCAAAATCTCTTAAGACCGTGACGGTGGGTACCACATGGCACTTGGCAACAACAGCGACGCCGACGACGACAGCGACAACGACGATGACGACGCCGCCGACAACGACTACGACGACACCGACGACGTCTCCAACGACTTCGACGACGCCGACAACGACGACGACGACGACGACGACGACGACACCGACGACGACGACGACGACGACACCGACGCCGACGACGACGACGATGACGACGACGATGACGACGCCGACGACGACGATAACGACGACACCGACGACGACGACGACGTCAACGACGCCGACGACGACGACGACGACGACGACGACGGTGGCGACGACGACGACACCGATGTCGACGACGACGAAGACGACAACGACGCCGCCGCCGACGACGACGACGAAGACGACGACGACGTCGCCAACGAAGACACCGAGGGAGGAGGGAGGACGACGACGGCGACAACGACGACAACGACGAGGGAGGAGGGAGGACGGCGACGACGCGAACGACGAAGAAGGAGGAAGGACGGCGACGCCGACGACGGCAACGACGAGCGAGGAGGGAAGGCGACGACGACGACGACGACAACGACGACGACGACGACGAAATAGGAGGGACGACGAGACGCCGACGACGGACGACGACGACGACGAGGGAGGAGGAGGAAGGACGACCACGGCGACAACGACGACGGAAACGACCACGACGCCAAAGAGGACGACGACGACGAATACGAGGAAAGACAGAGGACGACGTAGGCGACGACGACGACGACGACAACGACGCGGGAGGAGGGAGGACGGCGACGACGACGACGCCGCAAGAGCGCGCGCGCACGCTTTTGTTGACAATCCGTGTTGCGAAACCTTGTGTTTTTGTAGGTGTTTTGGACACGATTTTGACATCCTGCCGAAACCGATGGGTTTTGAAAGTTTTCGGCGTACGCGCGCGACGACGCGCGCGTTTGCACTTCGTGCAGTTTTTTGCAGGGGATTCTCGCGACGGCACACGCGCAAGGGCGTTCGACAGATTTCGACATGAGCGCGCGCGAGGCCCGTTTGGTAGCATTTTGTGGAAATCTTGAAAAACCTAGGGTGTTCTTCAAATTTCGCAAGAGCTGGAAACTCGATTGCGAAATCCTTCCCGCACCGACGGTTTTTGAAGGATTTCGGCATGCACGCGCGACGACGCGCGCGTGTGCACTTCGTTTCATTTGTTGCAAAGGATTTGCGGAAAAAAGTGTTATGTTAGACAAAAAAGTCACCGCATAGTGTTTTTTTTTTTTTATATATATATATATATATATATATATAAAAGGGCCCTCAGGGGGGGAAACCGGCCTGCTGGGATGATATGTTTTTATATTTAGGATGGACGAGTGTGCAGAATATATATATATATATATATATATATATATGAAATTAAGCTATCCCACGGGGAAGCGTTAAGTCCGGTGGGGGGGGCAGAGTCTGTTCTCTTTTTTGAAAGGAGAATTAATTCACTCTGCTGAACTTGAAGTCGTCATCTCCACTGCTCGCGCCAACATCCCACCCACCCACCCGCAACTTGGTTTGGAAAACCTGTTAAGACCGACTACGACGACACCGACGACAACGACTAGGACGACACCGACGACGTCTCCGACGACTTCGACGACGACAACGACGCCGACGACGACGAAGACGATGACGACGACGCCAACGAAGGCGACGACGAGGGAGGAGGAAGGACGACGACGGCGACAACGACGACAACGACGACAACGACGATGGAGGAGGGAGGACGGCGACGACGCGAACGACGACGAAGGAGGAAGGACGGCGACGCCGACGACGACAACGACGAGGGAGGAGGGAAGACGACGACGACAACGACGACGACGACGACGACGGCGACGAAATAGGAGGGACGACGACGAGACGCCGACGACGGACGACGACGACGACGTGGGAGGAGGAGGAAGGACGAACACGGCGACAACGACGACGGAAACGACCACGACGCCAAAGAGGACGACGACGACGACGAACACGAGAAAAGACAGAGGACGACGTAAGCGACGACGACGACGACGACGCGGGAGGAGGGAGGACGGCGACGACGACGACGACGACGACGACGCAAGAGCGCGCGCGCACGCTTTTGTTGAAAATCCTGATTGCGAAACCTTGGATGTTTGTAGGTTTTTTGGACGCGCGATTTTGAAATCCTTCCGAAACCGATGGGTTTTGAAGGTTTTCGGCATACGCCCGCCACGACGCGCGCGTCTGCACTTCGTTTTTTTTTTTGCAGAGGATTCTCGCGACGGCACACGCGCAACGGCGTTCGACAGATTTCGACATGCGCGCGCGAAGCCCGTTTGGTAGCATTGTGTGAAAATCTTTGAAAAACTCACGGTTTTCGTAAGATTTCGCAAGAGCTCGCGCGGGAGCTTTTTTGGCAAACCAGTGTTGCGAAACCATGTGTTTTTGCATGGTTTGGGAAGCTCGATTGCGAAATCCTTCCGGCACCGAAGGTTTTTGAAGGATTTCGGCATGCGCGCGCGACGACGCACGCGTGTGCACTTCGTTTTTTTTTTTTTTTTTTTTTTGTAAGGGATTCGTGAAACAGTGGTATGTTAGAACAAAAAATGTCACCGCATAGTGTTTTACAAGGGACCCTCAGGGGGGAGGGAACCCGGCCTGGCTGGGATGGTACGATTTCATATTTAGGATGGACGAGTGTGCAGAATATATATATATATATATATATATATATATGAAATTTTACAATCCCAGGGGGAAGCGATAAGTCCGGGGGGGTAGAATCTATTCGCCTTTTAGAAAGGAGAATTAATGTCTGTTTGCAGTGAGTTGTCCACTCCACTGCTCGCGCAAACATCCCACCCACCCACCCGCAACTTGGTTTGCAAAATCTCTTAAGACCGTGACGGTGGGTACCAAATGGCACTTGGCAACACAGCGACGCCGACGACGACAGCGACAACGACGACGACGACGCCGCCGACAACGACTACGATGACACCGACGACGTCTCCAACGACTTCGACGACGTTTCGACGACGACACGAAACATCCCACCCACCCACCCGCAACTTGGTTTGCAAAATCTCTTAAGACCGTGACGGTGGGTACGGCACTTGGCAACAACAGCGACGCCGACGACGACAGCGACAACGACGATGACGACGCCGCCGACAACGACTACGACGACACCGACGACGTCTCCAACGACGACGACGAACGACGACGACGACGACGACGACGACGACGACGACGCCGACGACGACGACGATGACAACGACGACGACGATGACGACGCCGACGACGACGACGACGACACCGACGACGACGACGTCAACGACGCCGACGACGACGACGACGACGACGACGACGACGACGCCGACGTCGACGACGACGAAGACGACAACGACGCCGACGCCGACGACGACGACGAAGACGACGACGACGTCGCCAACGAAGACAACGAGGAAGGAGGGAGGACGACGACGGCGACAACGACGACAACGACGAGGGAGGAGGGAGGACGGCGACGACGCGAACGACGAAGAAAGAGGAAGGACGGCGACGCCGACGACGGCAACGACGAGGGAGGAGGGAAGACGACGACGACAACGACGACGACGACGACGACGACGGCGACGAAATAGGAGGGACGACGACGAGACGCCGACGACGGACGACGACGACGAGGGAGGAGGGAAGACGACGACGACCACGACGACGACGACGACGGCGACGAAATAGGAGGGAGACGACGAGACGCCGACGACGGACGACGACGACGACGAGGGAGGAGGAGGAAGGACGACCACGGCGACAACGACGACGGAAACGACCACGACGCCAAAGAGGACGACGACGACGAACACGAGAAAAGACAGAGGACGGCGTAGGCGACGACGACGACGACGCGGGAGGAGGGAGGACGGCGACGACGACGACGACGACGACGACGCAAGAGCGCGCGCGCACGCTTTTGTTGAAAATCCGTGTTGCGAAACCTAGGGTTTTTGTAGGTTTTTTGGACGCGCGATTTCGAAATCCTTCCGAAACCGATGGGTTTTGAAGGTTTTCGGCATACGCCCGCGACGACGCGCGCGTCTGCACTTTATCCCGTTTTTTGCTGAGGGTTCTCGCGACGGCACACGCGCGAGGTCGTTCGACAGATTTCGACATGCGCGCGCGAAGCCTGTTTGGTAGCATTTTGTGGAATTGTTCAAAAACTCTTGGTTGTCTTAAGATTTCGCAAGAGCTCGCGCGGAAGTTTTTTGAGCAAATCAGTGTTGCGAAACCATGTGTTTTTGTATGTTTGTTTTGGAAACTCAATTGCGAAATCCTTCCGGCACCAGAGTTTTTTGAAGAATTTCGGCATGCGCGCGCGACGACGCGCGCGTGTGCACTTCGTCCGTTTTTGCAAGAGGTTCGTGAACAAGTGTTATGTTAGAAGAACAAATGTCACCGCATAGTGTTTTTTTTTTTACCAGGGAACCTCAGGGGGGGGAACCCGGCCTAGCTGGGATGACACGATTTCATGTTTAGGATGGACGAGTGTGCAGAATATATATATATATATATATATATATATATATATGTATATGTATATGTATATGTATGTATATGTATATATATATATATATATGAAATTATACGATTCCAGGGGGAAGCGCTAAGTCCGGGGGGGGTAGAGTCTATTCTCTTTTTAGAAAGGAGAACGTATGCGATGCAATCCATGACCGTGACGTGACGGTAGGTGCCAAATGGCACTTGGCAACGACACCGACGTCGACGACGACAGCGACGACGACGCCGACGACGACTACGACGACACGACGACGGCGACGACGACACCGACGACGGCGACGACGCCGACGTCGACGACAACGACGACAATGACGTCGACGACGACGACGACGCCGACGACGACGACGACGACGCCGACGACGACAACGCCGACGACGACGACGACGACGAGGACGGCGACTACGACGACGGCGACGAACTAGGAGGGACGACGACGAGACGCCGACGAGGGACGACGACGACGACGACGACGACGACGAGGGAGGAGGAAGGACGACCACGGCGACAACGCCGACGGCAATGAGGACGACGACGCCACAGAGGACGACGACGGCGACGACGAGGAAAGTCAGGCTGATCACGCCGACGACGATGACGGCGTCTTCGCGTCGGTAATGCAGGTTTTTGGGGGCATCCGACATTCGCGCGTGGCAAACGCGCGAGAGTGGCCCGCATGGTATTATTCGACACGGATCGTGCCACCCCAGCACGCGCGCAAGGGCGTTCGAACGGTTTCGACATGCGCGCGCGAAGCCCCTTTGGTAGCATTGTATGCGGATGTTGGGATGTTGAAACACGTATGGTTTTCATCAGAATTCGCAAGAGCGCGCGCACGTTGTTTTGATAATCCGTGTTGCGAAACCATGTGTTTCTTAATGTTTTGTTTTGACTGCCGATTTTTGAATTCCTTCCAGGACCTAAGGTTTTTGAAGGTTTTCGGCATGCGCGCGCGACGACGCGCGCGTGTGCACTTTGTGTTTTTTGTTGAAGGGATTCCCGCGACGGCACACGCGCAAAGGCGTTCGAACGATTTTGGCATGCGCGCGCGAAGCTAGCATGTTACGGACATGTTGGACAACTTATGTCTTGCTCAAGAATTCGCAAGAGCACGCGCACGTTTTTTGTATAAAGCAATCCGTCTTGCGAAACCCTGTATTTCTAATGTTTTTTGGACACTCGATTTTGAAATCCTTCAGAAACCGAAGATTTGTGAAGGATTTCGGCATGCGCGCGCGACGACGCGCGCGTGCGCACTTCGTCCCACTTTTGCCAGGGATTATTGAAAACTTATCATTTGTGATCAACGAGTGTGCGCGCATAGTTTTTTGGGAAGAGGATGGCGGGGGGGACCGATACCGGCCTGGCTGGGATAGTATGAGCTCAGAGGTAGGATGGGCATTGGGTCAGAATCCTATGTGTTTTGCATCGGTTCCCGGGGGTTCTTAATCCCGGCGGGGGGGGGGTGGTAGAGCCGATCTTTCTTTAGAAAGGAATCGTATATGCGGTGCAATATATGCGGTGTGTTGTGCAATCCGCGCGGTGCAACCTATGCAATGCAGTCTAGGCGGTGCAATCTTGGGTGGTGCGAAAGCCGCCACTCGCCCCGAGCGGCGGCAACGGCGACGGCGGCGACAGGCGGCAGGCGCTGCCCGCAAAAGCCGCCATTCACTCCGCGATGTTCACGCCAAGTAAGAGCCCCCAAGTGCAAGCACTGCTTGGGGAAAATCTATAGCAAGGTTGCGCTGCTTCATCAATGCTACCCCTGCATCCCTGCGTCTTCGGCCCATCCTGAGCCCATGCTGACGTCCAAGGAGTTCTTAATGGTAAGTGGGACTTCTAAGTTCTAAGAGCCTGGCATCCATAGCTTACATCCTTACTGAGGGTTTCGACTGTATGCGTACACTTTCGGAGCTCCGCTCGAATTTCTCGCATCTGCGCTGGTCGTCCTTGGCGGCGCCTCCGGCGCCTCCCCTTGACGCGCCCCGCTGGCCAGGGAGGGAGTTCCAGCGCAGATCCAAGGAATCCGCGTGGAATTCCGAAGGTTTATGTTTATGTCGACAACTCTCTTCCTCCAGGAGAGCAAGACTCCGCGCGTACGGCAGCCGCGGCACCGACGGGCGAGTTTCGACAACATCTGCTACGCGATCGCGCAGAAGGCCACGCAGAAGTTCAACAACACCCGCGAGGCCTTCCGCTTCATCGACGAGGACCACGACGGGACGATCTCGCCGACGGAAATGAGGTACTTCTTCCGCGCTTACGACTTCCCCCCCGAAATCGCCGACTCCTTCTTCAGCTTTCTGGACCCGGATAATTTGGGGGAGATCCCTTACGACAAGTTCGTCGAGTTCATGAGCCCGCACTTCAACGACTTCCGGCCCGGGTCTCCCACTCTGGACGGGGAGGTGGTTCCCCAGGCATCTCAGATGGGGTCCGAGCAGATGGGCTCGGAGGATCGCGCGCCGCACCGCCGAGGCATCGCCGATGCGCCTCGATGTGGAGCCGGACGCTCTCCACGCCGACGGCCGCCGATGCCTCGCCGACGATGCCGATGCATCGCCGACGCCCGCGGTGCATCGCCGATTCGCGTCGGGGCGTGCGGCGCGGCCCTCGGAGCCCACCTGACTGCCAGGGCCCCGGCGGGGAGGCCTTCAGGTTCGCAAGAAGACCGACAGGCCGCCGAGCCCGGTGCGCATCCAGAACGTGGCAGAGGCTCGACGAGTGATATCCGGCCCCGAGCCTGCTCCCCAGACCCCCTCGCGTTGTGAGCAAAATCACGACGGGAGGTTCCTGGCTATCCTCGGCCCCTGGGGGCCCTCACCGGGCCTCTGGGGCCGTCGAAAAACGACTCGGGATGAAAATCCGGTCCCGGGGAGAGGGTCTGGACCTCTGGGGGGTCGCGTCATAATCGGGGGCGGCAAAGAGGGGGGTGATGACTAGGGGGGGGTGGATATCATGGCGTGGGCCATGATATTTCCCCAGATTTCATGGCGCCTCTTCTTATTTTATTACATCCCTGGCCCCCCCGCTGGGCCGCGCACATGCCGCCTGTCATGATTTGCACCCCCCCTCTTGGACACCCCCCTCTTGGCCGCTCCCGACATAAAATAATCATGACGTCGGGGGTCCGGGTCTCATGGGGCGGCCGAGAGGGGTGCGTTGGCTTTTCTGCCGTCGAAGGGGGCGGTCGACCGGACCCCTCGACGTTTCTCCATGTCTGCAAGAACGAAATTGGTACAGAAAGAATGGGTACAATGCCTAACAGCCGTTCTTGTTCATTTTGAACAGGACTCGCTGTCCGCGCCGCAGCGGCCTGTGTCCGTTTGAGACAGAAGGCCGCCTGCCCAACAGCGGCCGCTGTTGGTTTGGGACAACATTTGTTGTTGGGCATTGTACCCATTATTTCCGTGCCCATGGGCGTCCAAACCATGGTCTGTATCTAGCACTGTGGGCGTTTGTGTTGCCGTTTCTTGTGTTTGTCAATTTTCGCATCCTGGGGGCCCTTCTTGGTTCCCGGGGCCGTCACACCATGCTTGGGAATGAAAAGGCAGCCCTCGAGAGAGGATCCGGAATTCTGGGGACGGCGTATTGAAGACACCCAGACGCCGCATGTATGGGAAGAGGAAATGTCGCGTGAGATCCGACCCCGAATCAAACCTCCAGGTCGGTTTGGGAGGTCGCCGCGGCGGCCACAAATCTCCAGGCCTCCGAGATGTGGTTGGCGTTGATGGGGTCGGAGGATCGCGCCGCATCGCCGATGCATCGCCAATACGGCCTGATACGGAGCCCTATGTTCTCCACGCAAGTGGTGCCGATGCATCGCCGACGTTGCCGATGTTTCGCCGATGCATCAACGATGCGGCCCGATCCTTCGACTCCATCTACTCGCACCCCATTGGGCAGCCTTGAAAATAGGGGCAAGATTTTTGCCTAGGAGAGGCATGTAGATATGGCCGACAATGAACGACTTAGCGACAGACAGTTGTCAGTTTATGTCCAACAGGGATAGTCCTGTTCTTTTGCCCAGGGGTCGATTGCCACGCCACCAGAGGTGCACAAGGAGTTCGCAGAGGTGCTCCACATCATTGGCCAGAAGGTGCCCTCGAAGTTCAAGTCTCTGCGCCACGTGTGGAGGCACGTCGACAGCGACAACGATGGGAAGGTGTCCCAGAAGGAGATGCGGGCTTTCTTCTGGGCCTTCAACCTGCCGCAGGAGGAGGCGGACAAGCTGCACGAGCGCATGGGGCAGGGCAGCGGGGGGGAGATCTACTATGAGCACTTCGTCCGGTACCTCGGTGGCACATCATCGGAGCCTGGCAGACCCTCTTAATTATGTCTTCAGCGTCGATTTGCATCGATTAGCGTCGATGAGATAGCACCGACTTAGCGTTGGCTAACGTCGATTAGCGTCGATTTAGAATCGGTTTAGCGTCGATTAGCGTCGATTCGCAAGAGCCGACAAGATGGTATGGGAGGCTCCCATGAGTTGCCACCAACAGGTACCTCGGGCCCTACGTCGCGCCCGACACTCTGCTGTCGAACTTGGCCTTCAACACGCCCAGGACGGCGAAGCAGACCGACCCCTCGCTGATGAAGGTCGACGACGAGCCCGTGAACCGGAAGAGGGATCCCCCATCGACGAGCTATGCGGTGGACCAGGACCCAGAGGTGCTCGGGCAAGTACAGACTGCGTAACCACTTACTGTCGGATGCCCGCGCGGATCTCTTGGATCGGCGCTGGGCCCCCCTCCCTGGTGCGCCGAGCGCGCCAAGGGCTGCGCCGGAGGCGCCGCCAGGGGGCCCAGCGCGGATCCGAGAAATCCGCGCGGAGCTCCGAAAGTCTTTATGTTTATGCAATGTTTTCTTCCTCTAGGTGCGCACCGAGCTCAAGAACCTCATGATCGACATCGGCCGCAAGCTGCCGCTGAAGTTCAAGCAGCAACGCGACGCCTTCCGCATGCTCGACCTGCAGCGGGACGGGCGCATCACCCGCACCGAGATGCACGGCTTCTTCCGCGGCCTCGGGTGGGACGAGACGAGGGCAAATTGGTTATTCGACATGCTGAAGGAGTACCTCCCCAGTGTGGCTCGAGGTTCGAGGCTCGAGGTTTTCCGGCTTTTCCGTCACTCCTCGGCGTTTTTCCAGCCTCGGGATGCTCTCTAGCAGGTGCGCCTCGCCGAGGGCGTTCCAGTGGTGCCCAGATCGTCCCGAACCGCCGCCAGAGAGACGATTTATGACCTAGAAACCAGGAGGCAACCTTTGGGGAGTTGAGAGAAAACATGCTCAGGGAGGGGAGAACCGACACCCGAGCCCGATAGCCCCACCCCGCCCAGGTAAGTGCGGTTTCGCTATCGGGGGGCAATCGCCGATCTCTCGGCGATATGTTGCCGTTTCCAGGTGTGTTGCCCTTAACGTCGCGCCTCAAGGAGGACCCTCACGGCGAGGTAGACTACAAGAGCTTCATGTCGCACTTCGACAGGATTTTGGGCCCGCAGTTCCGGCAGGGGAAGCGAAAGCCGTTGATCGACGTGGACGACAAGGCCATAGAGAAGGAGGTCAACGACATCGCGCATATTCTCCAGGATCGCATGACCACCAAGTACAAGTCGGTGCAGGATGCATTCCGCGCAATCGATCTCAACAAGGACGGGGGTGTGTGCCTCCAGGAGATGAAGACGTTCTTCCGCAACATCGGGATGTCCTACTCCCAGGCCGAGAAGGTCTTCGCGGCGCTCGATACCGACGGCACCGGCGACGTAAAGTACAACAAGTTCATCGGCTTGTTTGGCAACCAGAAGAGCAAGGAGGCACTCGAGACCGAGAAGGCCCAGCCGCTGTGGAAGCTCTACGGCGGGGCCGCGCTCTGCGTATGACCATCGTGCCCCGCGCGCGGCCGTGGCGCTGGGCACGCTGCCTGTAACTTAGGCGGCGGGAGTGCAGCAGAGCTTCCGCGCTGCCGGCGGAATTCGCAGGTTTCCAGGCGCGCGCCTGGCGTCGGGGATTGCCAAGCGTGCCCCTGGCCCAGGGTGCCCCCCAGCTTTTCGCTCCATGTCGGAGCCCCTCGGGCCCCCTGGGCCTCGTGAGGAGTGCTCTGCAGGCCGTGGGGGCCTCCTTGGAAATCCTAGGGGCACCTTTGACCAGGGGCACTTCTGGCAGCACCCTAACCTGGCTGGTGGACGTGGGCCTCGTGTGCTGAATCGCCGTAAGTAGTCTTGTGTCGAAGGACGCCTCCGGCGAAGCACCGCCGCCCCTGCGGTGGGTGCAGCGCTGTCGTGACTGTGCTTTGATCTTGGCTCCCCGAAGTCTTGTCGGGGCAACTTGGGGAACATATAGGTCCAGAGCTTGTTCCAAAATGTCAGAGGAGGAACAAAAAACCTACACCGCTACCCTCGCCCCGTTTTCCCCTCTTTCGGCCTCCTGGCAGGCCCTCGTCGCCACCACTGGATTCGCCTCGAAATTTTGTTCAGAACGCACCCCAGGAGAGGTCCCGGGAGTAGCGGTATCGGTACCCTTTGGATTCCCCTAAATGCGCGCAACAATTGGAACACTGGGGTGTTTGGAAGCAACCCTGCGTCTTCGTCGGGGCCTCCCGTGGCGCTCTTCGGTGGTCGTGCGAGCTTCTTGGGCTTTCGCTGCAGGCACTCCTGGGCCTTCTGCTGCCCCTGAATTCTGTGTTGAGGGGTCTCTCAGGCGATATTTGGGCCGTACTGCGCCCCTCCAGAAATCTTTGGACGTTTCTTTCGTTGTTTTGTTGTGTGTCGAAGAGGAACAACAATGTCACATCAGCTTTTACAGATCCGCACGAATTCATTGGATCAGCGCTCTCGGCCCGTTCCTGGCGCGCTGAGCGTGCCAGGGTCGGCGACGGAGGTGCTGCCAGGGGGGTCCAGGGCCGAATCACCTAAATGTGCCGACGCTCAGCTTCTACGCTTGTCGCGTTTTGCTATTACTACGATTGGGGCAGGGTTGCCCGATGGGCTCTCAAGGGCCGAGAGATGCTCCAAGGGTTGCCCCAAGAGGCCCTGGGCGCCCCACACCTCAGAACCTTGCAGATGTCAGATGTTCCGAAATTGATGGGCCTGTTTTCCACCACCACCATCTGTTGGAGGGGGGAGGAGGTGGAGGATGAGGAGGAGAAGGAGGACGACGAGCAGCAGGAGGAGGAGGAGGAGGAGGAGGAGGCCCCCCTCCCCCTCCCACTTATGGTGGTGGCGGTGGAAAACAAGCCCACCACAAATGCCCAGCTCCTTCGGGACTTCGGCTCTGCCTTCGTCCAAGAGGCACTCGTCGGAAGGATCTGGTATACGGCTTAGCAGGACCCGGAAGCAAGAGGGCCCTGGGAGAGGAGGCCCCTGAAACAGTTCCAGAGGGCCTCCGGACGGGCCCAAGATAGCCTAAGAGAGTCTGCAGGCTCAACACGGCCCAAGACGGCACCCAGGCAGCTCCAGAGAGCCCCTGAGGGGCCCAGAGACGCCCCCAGACGGCTCGAGAAGCCGCCACAGGCTTCCAATGTGCCCAGGCCCAAGAGGATCCCAAGAGGCGGCCACTACGGTCCAAGTGGTCCCGGAGGACCCCGAAGCAAACAAGAAGGCACCGAGACTGTTCACCAGGCCGAACGAGGTTGGAAGAGCCGCACGAGAGGCTCAAATGCGGCCCAATCGGCAGCAAGATGCAGAAGGCAGCGGCAGACATCAGCAACCAGACATAGTAATCTACAGCAGGCAGCAAGCAAAACCAAAAGGCTGCAAGTAGTTGCGAACGAAAGCAAGCAGCAGCAACTCCACTATCAGGAGGGCAACGAGCAGCGCTTCCAGCCGTGCTGGTAATGTGTTATTACATGTCCCAAGGCATCATTTAATCTGAGAGCGTGGCTCGGGGAGGGGGCCAGTAGTGTGGCGCGTGTATAGCAGCTTGCACATGCATGGATGCATGGACCGGGCACATAACAACTTTGCGTGTGCATGTGTGCGTGCTTCGGTCCTCGTTGCCGATACCAGAAGGGATATGATTGCCTAGCCGCTGGTCTGCAATGCTGCTAATCGCCAGCCTGCACTGGCGAAGGCTGAGCTGGATGAAACCTCAGCTTCACAGCCTGGTGGACCTTGGAACGAGGGCCAGCGAATCAAAACCGAAGTCTATAAGACGGTCGGCCGGCGCCTCAGAGAGGAAATGCCCTCAATGGGGAGCCGTGAGGCGTGCCGGTCACCAGGTCTGGTTTGCCTCGCCGGCAGATCATGAAGCTTGTCTAGTTTCCCATTATGGGCGCCTTGTTCGACACAACGCCGCCCATCTCGGCTCGTTTGTCCGTCACACGTCAGGGGCGCATATTCTAAATGTGAGTAGCAGTGCCTGCTGAACGTCTGACAGAATCTCTTCGAGCCTCGAAGAACCCTGTTGCGATCGCGCGGCTTGAACTTGCTGCTAGAGGAGGTCATCCAATCGATGCAACAAAGGAAGCCATAATCTATTTCCATCGACCTCCATCCTCCTATCCACCCTCCTGCCTAATGATGTTCCAACCTACTTTAGCTTAGATCACCAGAAAGACTTTCGAGCACCAAAAAAGTACCGAAACTCTAGGGCTTTCACGTGTCGGGCCCTGGGAGATACTCGTCCGACACTGTTTCGATACTCTTTCGACACCCTTTCGACACTTTCCCGGGCGCTCGCAATTATTTCTGGCATGTGGTCCTTAAGTACGATGGGAGCAACACAGTTCCTGCCAAGCTTCGGGGGATGGCCGACTTCATCGACCCCTCGAACAAAACATTACACCGCTCGATTTGTCATATTTGCCGGCCCCTGGAACTCTTGACCCCTACCCTGAGGTCGTTTGTCCTGAGTCGTTGTTGGGTCCTGGGGTGTGATGGGCTTGTTTTCCACCACCACCACCAAAAGTAGGAGGGGGAGGGGGTCCCTGTCCTCCTGCTCCTCCTCCTCCTCCTGCTCCTCCTCCTCCCTCTCCTCCCTCTCCTCCTCTTCCTCCTCCTCCTCCTCCTCCTCCTCCTCCTCCTCCTCCTCCTCCCCCTCCTCCTCTGCGTCCTCCTCCACATCCTCCACTTTCCTCCCCTCTCCAACTTGTGGTGTTGGCGGTGGAAAAGAAGCCCATCAGGGTGGGGCCTAGAATCTGCTTCCAGCCGACGCTGGGAGTAGTGGAAACCTTGGGCGCAAGGTTCCCGACTCGTAGGAGGTCCAGGCTCGGCGGCGCGCCCAGGGGGGAAAGTGGGGCAGGCTTGCCCAGAAGGCAACGGAGCTTCTCAGAAGACCTCGGGCCTTCTGAGAAGCCGTGAGCGTCTTCGGAGAAGGCTTAGACTCGGGCGGGGCTAGGACAGGCATAACCGGCATAACATCCTTCCAGAGCGTTCCAGAAGGCTCCGAGAAGGCCGCGGCGCCAGATGTATCCTCCAGAGCCGCTGGATCCAGAGATTCCCGATCTATCCCGGTCCGAATTTGTCTTTGTCCCGGCGCAGTTTTGTGAGAGGCTCCTCGTAAGTCCCCCGGTGATCTCTGGAGCTCTCCAGGTGTCCCCAGGGAGTGACCGCAGGCTCCGCCCCTCAGGTCGAGATCGCCACCCTAAGAAGACCCAAACTCTTCCCCAGCAACAGCAACTGCAGAAATGCAACAGGCCCAACAAATCAACAGGAAACAACACACAAGCCAAGGCTCAACACCAAGGCTCAACAAAAGGCTCAACACAATTTTTGATCTGCCTGGCGAGAGCGTACCTCTTCCGCTAAAAGTTAGGCGGGCTACGCACAGCTTTAATTAGGGAGACAGGGCACAGGAAGGCGGGGCCTCAGGCGGCCGGAGTGGGCGGAGCCCTGGGATGCAGGCGGTGCCGAAGTGGATGTGCAGGAGCAGGTGCGCCGCGGACTGGAACCGGGGGCGAAGACCCGGAGGGTGGAGGGGAAGGTGTTGCCGTCGACGGCGCATCGCGAACACCAGCCTCAAGCGCTGCAGAGGGGGACGTGCCACTTGACCAGGTCGACGTCCAGAAAGAAGAGGAACACCACGAAGGCGATGTGCAACGTTGTGCCACCGGGTGATGCGGAAGAGGCCCGGGGTGGTAGTCCAATCCACGACCAGGTAGCAGCATGCTTGAGGAGCGCCCTCAGACGAGGGGGGCCGTTCATGACCGACAGGATGTCGGTGGACTGCAGGGAGAAAACCTGCCCTGCACCGCCAACAAAAAAAATATCAACACAAGGCTCACCAAGACTATCAGAAATACAAAGGATCAACAATAAGCAAACAAGAAAGAAGAAACATAAATACAAATGGCTCACACAGCCTACCTCTTTTCCGAAAAGTTTCGATCATCCTCCCTGTGGAGGGCGCATGGGGCTCGGGGGCGGGGCTACGAAGTCTGCCGCGCGTAGCTGGTTGGGGCACTGGAGGGCGGCCTCCAGCGCCAGGGGCGCTTGGAACACCAGCGGCATGCCGCTCAATCCCCAACACGCCCTTCGCCAAGCCCTCCCTCCTCCCCCCCCCCCACCCGGAGGGCCGCCCGTTGCTGGAGGTCGCGAGGCAGCGATGGGGACCACGGTGCCCGCGGGGGCCGACGGCAGCTTCCCCGAGCACCGGTGCGGACGGCGAAGAGGGGGCTCGGGGAGGATCGAAGGACAAGCCATCGTGCAATCATGTGCTTTCGGAGGGCCGCGCAGATGTATTGCGGTGGGCTCCGGACCTCTCCACCACGTCCAGCGGCGTCGCCCCGGGCGCGCTCGCTCGCCGGCGGGGGGGGGGCAGTGTCCGTTTCGCCCCCCGTGACAGAGTCGCGTGGCTCAGGCTTGCCTCGCGCGCCCATGCGCGTGGCGTGGCCAGGGGAAGGCAAATAGGAACTAATGTCTCCTTTGGAAAGCGGTAAGGCAAT